AACTGGTTCCAATTGAAAACCAGTTGCCAAACTGGTTCACCAATTGAAACCAGGTTGAAACCAATTGCAACTGGTTCCAATTGAAAACCAGTTGGAAACCAATTGCCAACTGGTTCCAGTTGCCTAATGGTTTAAACTGGGAACCAGTTGTTCCAATTTCCCTATTGAAACCAGTTGGCTTCAAAATGGTTTCAACTGGTTTCAATTGGTTTCAATTGGATCCAATTGAAACTTACAGTTGGCATAAACTAATTAGTTATAAGTTAATTAGCTCTTGCACTAATTATCGCTCATGTCAACACAGGAAACATTGTTATATGTGTCTACATTAAGTACAATGTAAAGGGCATTATAATATGCAGACTATAATATACTTAACAAGGAAGGCATTGCCATTATATATGTTTGTATTTGATGTATTGTGTACATGGTTAGTGTTTTACTAATAAACTTTTAATCTGTGTAATTACAAAAATATGTTACTAATAAACATGCTTATCATTGCTAATTAATCTTTATATTTATCTAAAACAAATGCATTACTTGCAAATGAAAATTAATTAATAAGTACATTGTAAATCAAAATAAATACATAAAACATTGATCTGCACACAAGCATATAATATGCAAATTAACTGGTTTCAATTGGATCCAGTTGGGTAACTGGAAATATTTCCAATTGGAACCAATTGGGTAACTGGAAATGAATTCTAACTGGAACCAGTTGGGTAACTGGAAATTACTTCTAACTGGAAAATGAATGCTAACTGGAACCAATTGGGTAACTGGAAATGAATTCTAACTGGAACCAGTTGGGGGAACTGGAAATGACTTCTAACTGGAAATGAATGCTAACTGGAACCAGATGGGTAACTGGAAATGAATTCTAACTGGAACCAGTTGGGTAACTAGAAATAAATTCTAACTGGAACCAGTTGGGTAACTGGAAATGACTTCTAACTGGAACCAGTTGGGTAACTGAAAAGACTTCTAACTGGAAATGAATGCCAACTGGAACCAGTTGTGTAACTGGAAATGAATTCTAACTGGAACCAGTTGGGTAACTGGAAATGAATTCTAACTGGAACCAGTTGGGTAACTGGAAATGACTTCTAACTGGAAATGAATGCTAACTGGAACCAGTTGGGTAACTGGAAATGACTTCTGACTGTTGGAACCAGTTGGGTAACTGGAAATGACTTCTAATGGAAATGAATGCTAACTGGAACCAGTTGGGTAACTGGAAATGACTTCTAACTGGAAATGAATGCTAACTGGAACCAGTTGGGTAACTGGAAATGACTTCTAACTGGAACCAAATGGGTAATTGGAAATGAATTCTAACTGGAACCAGTTGGGTAACTGGAAATGACTTCTAACTGGAAATGAACGGTGGAACAGTTGGGTAACTGGAAATGACTTCTAACTGGAACCAATTGAGTTACTGGAAAATTACCTTACTGGTTCAGTTGCACTTCTTATTGGTGGTTTGAACTGGAAATGAGTACCCATAACAATATTTTCCAGTTCGGCAATCGGTTTCAACTGGAAATTTTCTATTCCAATTGAAACCAATTGAAACCAGTTGAAACCAATTGAAACCAATTGAAACCAGTTGGAGATTTCAACTGGTTTCAATTGGATTTTGGTCCTGGGTTGAAGGGATATTTTGTCGAATTAAAAACTAAAACCCTGTAATAAAGCATGGGTAAAGCGCACAGTATTTGCTCCAGACCCGGTTATTTCAAAACTTTTAAAAATCTCCAAACTAAGACCCCATCATTTTATTCCTGTGGAAGAACATAAGTATTGAGCGTAGTCTTTCCTCCAGACCCGGTTTTCAAAAGTTAAAAAAAAAAAAAAAAAAACACAAAATAAAACAAAACAACTCCATCTTCCTAATTAAGACCCGGTAATAAAGCATGGGATTAGAACGTAGTCTTGACTTCAGACTCGGTTATAAAAAAAAAAAAATCTTCAAACTAAGACCTCACCATCTCATTCCTGTGGAATAACATGGGTATAGAGCGTAGTCTTCCAGACCCAGGGTATTTCAAAGGAAAGAAATGTCAGACATAATCTCTAATCGAGAATCTAGGATACCTACCCCCTGCCAACTACCCTCAGCTAACTACCCCCTATAATGATAACCCCCCCCCCCCAGCTAACTACCCCTGGACATCTACCCCGGACAATACCCCCCCCCCCCCCCCCGGACATCTACCCCAAGTCAAGTACCCCCCGGACATCTATCCCGGGCAACTACCCCCAGACATCTACCCCCGTCAAATACCCCCGGACATTCCCCCCCCCCCCCAATCCAACTATCCCTTCTAACTACCCCCAGCAAACTACCCCCACCCTGAAAACTACCCCTGGACATCTACCCCCATCCAACTACCCCTGGGCAACTACCCCCAATTACCTTAATTTGCTTGGGGGTAGATGTCCGGGAGGGGGGGGGGGTAGTTGGAGGGGGAGTTACTTGTCCAGGGGGAGGGGTAGTTGGATGGGGTAAGATGTCAGGGGATAGATGTCCGGGGAGGGGGTAGTTGACTGGGGGTAGATGTCCGGGGGTAGTTGGCTAGGTGGTAGTTAGCTATACCCATGCTTTATTACAGGGTTTTAGTTTTGAACAAATTCGGCAAAATATCACTTCAAATTTATTACATTTGTGGGTAAAGTCATTATTACATTTGTGGGTGATTCAAAATATCACTTCAAATTTATTACATTTGTGGGTAAAGTCATTATTACATTTGTGGGTGATTCAAAATATCACTTCAAATTTATTACATTTGTGGGTAAAGTCATTATTACATTTGTGGGTGATTCAAAAGTATTACATTTGTGGGTAAAGTGGTTATTACATTTGTGGGTGAAATTATTACATTTGTGGGTAAAGTGTTATTACATTTGTGGGTGTTGTTACATTTGTGGGTAAAGTGTTATTACATTTGTCGGCGTTATTACATTTGTGGGAGTTATTACATTTGTGGGTGTAACAGGGGGGGCCAATTTTTTTTTTTTTTTTGCTCCCGCAAATTAGAAAATCACGCCGGTCGACAATTCACACTTTTTTTTTGGGGGGGGGGGTGGACACATGACACCCCCTGTGACCCCCCCCCCCCCCCCCCCCCCCCCCCTAGATCCACCACTGCAAAGATTTTTACTTTTTTGAGGCACTTCTTGATCATTTTGAAGCGCAAGTTTTTTAGGGCTCTAATATTACACCATATCACAGACACTGATAACATGTAGGGCCGTGCATCTTAGATTTAACATTGTTAAACGATGCCATTAATGTATGTTATGAATAGACAATCAGTCACCAGTTTTTTCGGTACATATTTTCCTGCTGTTGTTTCAGGTGACATGATGTTCTGGTACACCAACATGAGGCATCACACGGAAGTCGTCCACGGCTGCTCCCTGAGCTTCAGTTTCCGCATACACACTCCAGCACCAAAACTCTACCTCACGGAGCAGCGAAAGCTCATATCTGACCTTTCTGATGAGAATCGTTACAGGTTGTACGAGGAGACGCAAACGCGAGATAAGTTCTTCCTAGATAAATGTCACCTTGTCATGAAATACGATCAAGTCTTCCTAAACTGATAAATAGAAGGCAAAATTTATGTATGATTACAAATAATAATGTCTGAAAGCATTAAATTTTGATTATCTTTATAGTTATCTTTATAATTAAGAAATCTTTATAATTAAAGGTATACTGGGCTATGCAATTTAGGAACAGTAATTGATTTTTCTCTTGAGAAGGTGGTCAGTTGGCATGATGAAAAAGGCAGGGTTCCCAGCTATCTTGAGCGAAATTCGAGCAAAATTAGTGAAAAGTCAGGGAATTTCAAAGGCCTTAATAAATGATAGTAGTCAGTGACTGTCAATCACTTCAATTTTTATCTTGTGTCCAAACAGCTTATCCACTGTATGATTGCCTATGGTGTCTTTTAGTTTTGATGATGACGTAACTTAATGATACAATTGCATCCTGATGTGATAACAGGAAGTCATTACCAGTTGTCTTATCTAGTAGCTTCCTCAAGATACAAACTTTCTTTCTATTATTAGGTACATTTGCTTAATAACAATGAAAACGCTCACAAATTATTTTCACCTCTCCCCAGAACTCGACCTTCCTCTTAAGTCTAATGGACAGGTCAAATCACATAACATTTTGATTCAGTCCTAGTTTTCTGATATGGTCAGCGATTAAAACAGTCAGTAAAATTTTCACAAGTTTTCTTTTCAACTGTAGAGAAATAATAAAGCCAATAATTATCGTGAAAATGTTGAAAAAAAATATACACCAAGGCGCGTGCATTGAGTTTGAAAATTGAAATTGTCTCCAACTAGGGGGGGGGGGGGTGGGGGGAGTGGGGCACAACCCCTCCCAGACAACCCCCTTTCCGCGCAAGCGTGGAACGCGCTGCTTCTGTCCGTCTTTTATCATGCCCTCCACCCCTCTCCAAAATTTCTGGATCGGCGCATGCATGTATAAGCTGCAGGAAACAACACACACACACAATAAAAAAAACGCCATACAAAAGTTAAAAAGTGCAGTCTGCCTTACACTTTTGTTAAACGATTGCACATATAATTGCTTTTTTGATGTACTTACAAAACAATATAAATTTGTTCTTCCAGCATGCCAAGCAACTTTTGTAAACTGTACAGTACGATTGTAGGACACTAGTACATGGATAATATGCTTCCTTTCACTTTTGATTGATGAAGCTTTGTAGAGTTTTATGCAAGCTACTAGTTGGTTTGTGTATCATCAAGGTTCACAAAGTATAACATGCATTCTGTAGAGACACCTTGAACAGGCGTAGTAATAGAGTCGGCATTTAATCAAGTGACTGTAGGATGTATTAGAATGGAATTGTATGATTTCATTTGGGCTTTTGTGCTCCTCTGACTAGCCAGTGTCTTTCTAGTGTCTTTCCTTTAAACCTGATGGTGAACAAGACTCGCGATTTCCTAGTATGCAAATTTCTGACCATTTTTCTTGCCATCAATAGTTTTGTGCCATCAATTTTGGTTTTTCTTTTCAATATGTCTACAAGCAAATGTTATGTTTAATTGATATGTGCTACACAACCAGCTCTACGTACAGCTCTCTTATGATATAACTGCCTTAAGCACTGAGGAAATTGAGAATGGAAAGGGATGAGAAAGAAGGAGAGGGAGAGAGAGAAAGAGAGAAAGAGAGAGAGAGAGAGAGAGAGAGAGATGAGAGAGAGACGAGAGAGAGAGAGATGAGAGAAAAAGGAGGGGAGAATTCTTGGATATTTAATTTAGAGGCCATTGTGAAAAAATTACATGCTACTTTTATTGTAATGACTTAATGTGTATTCAGCAGATTCGTGGTAGAATTATTTTTGGGTTGATCATTGGTTCCCTATTTGTAATCATTTTCCTCCAGAAATTGCAACTTTATCTTACATGTACTTGTTATAATAGAAAAAGAAGGTATGTGCATTATGTGTGCCTGATGTAGCTACATGTATTATTATCCAATCAATTGATGAATAATTGTTTTGCAGTCATTTTTAATTATGAACACATAAATAATGTGGTAGTTTAGGCAGTTGTATTCATATATATCAAGTGCCAATTTAATTATCATGTATTTCTAAATTCAATTTTGTGAGTATTATCAATTATTCATAATATAAATGTGAAAAGACAATTTGAAACTTTAAGATCCATACAGATGAAGCTAAATAGTAAGAATCTTGATCTGTATGAACTTTAATTAGGTCGCTAATTAATAATTTGTGACCTTTTTTATTTCCTTTAGCGGCAGGTTGAATATATAAAGAGCATGATGTGCAGAAAATGATACTTCTGTCTGCTGAGAAGTTATAGGGTGTTTGCATAATAAACATGTTCATAAAATGTAGAAATTCACACCATTCTAATTTGGCAAGTTGGCAGGCAATATACACTGTTGCCCAAAGAGTTGGAATCATTTTTTTTTTAAACTGGTTTTTAATGAAGTGATTGTAAGAGTATAAATTTAATAAAAGTTTAGATTTTCTCATAACTTTATTGATCAACCCCTATGACTCTTTAGAGTATTCAATAAAGTTCAGAGAGGATATTTATATATCAAGAATAAATCAAATTCTCACAATCACTTCATGAAAAAAAAATCATCCTAACTTTATTGGTGTATTGAATAGTTAGAAGTGTTTTGTTGACATGGACTTTGATGTAATATGACAACATAATGTTTATGAATAGTACCCTGTGTCTCCTATTCTTGTTTTGGAATAAAGATAAGACTAGATTTCAATGGATATTGTTTCACTTATTTCAATTTTGTATGAAATTTTTTGTGTCAACCTAGTGAGAGTTCCGTAGAAGAATCCAAGTAGTATCACTTCATATTGACTTTGTGTACGCATGATAATTAGAAATTTTGCTTTAAAAAATATAATTTGGGGGATGCTCCTGGATTTGAAAAAAACAAATACATATATACTTTGTTTTGGATTTGAAAAAAGGGGATAAGTTTTCAAAAAGAGCAAATAATTTCATGAAATGTGTTAGAAACGAAAAGTGCAATCATCTGTAACTCCTCACTTCAACCCCTCCCCCCTCCTGTCTCTCTCGCTCTCTCTCTCTCTCTCTCTCTCTCTCTCTCTCTCTCTCGATCTATCTCTCCTTTTCTCTCTTTCTCCCAATCACTCTCCAATCTCTACCTATCATTCGTCTCTTCTCTTTTTGTTGTACTTTTGCATCACTAGGAACCCCCCAAATTCATGTATTTTTGCTTGTACTTAATTTCCATGGCTCACTATAGGCATCAAGCTATGCTGATCTTGGAGCCCTGTGCAGCTCTGTTTATAAGTTTATATTTGTCATGCATGTTTTAATGCATACTGATTTTATTATGTATTCAGAACTTAAATTAAAGATGAAATGAAAAGGGGTCATATTTCCACGATGTTCGCAATCATGTGAATGCCTATTATGTATTATTTGAATGTGAAGTGACAACACCGTTGAACACATAAACTATAACATGTCGTCCAGACATCTGTGTCAGGCCTGAAAGAAAAGGATGTTGTATTGCCCTTTACGTGCCCAAAAATGGGTCGTCGGTCAGAAGTTTTTATTTTTTCTTCTTTTTTTTCTTCAAAACTTTTTGTTGTTGTTGTACTGTTTGGGCTGATATTTCTCAGTTTTGAATGCTTTAATACATTTTTTTCTCTAAAAAACGGTTAGAAAAAAGGAGGAGGGGGGGGGGCAATACAACATCTTTTTTTTTTAGGCCTGATACATCTACCAAGCTTTATTGAATCTGTGTCAAAGGAGGGTGATCTTGGGTAAACAGACGAGATGATAACAAAATGTCATTATTTTGAAGTAAATATGAGGTCTGTTGCTTGGAAAGTTTGGACAATCCTGTAGCAGAAAAAAAAACAGTTTAGTTACAAAGGGTTGGAAGGAAGAAGAGGGGGGGGGGGGGGTCACATTATCCACAGAAGCATTGCAAGGGTCTGTGTCAGGCTAATGAGGACATTATATCAAACTTTGATTACCCCAAAATAAGTTAACAATTATCGAGTATCATTTATTTTCAAATTCTGATTCTAATGCATTTGACAATATGGTGACATTTATAAATTCACAGAGTAAATATAAACATAACAATGAACATGCATATGCATGTACAGAAGAGTAACATGACAAAAGAGTAAATACAATATGAAAATACAGTAAATACTAGTTTTAATCAGTCTAGACTTGTAACCGATCTTAGTCATTTTATTCTATCTCAATGCACATCCAGTTGTTCGCTCGTCCATTCAATGGATAAAAGTCATGTCTTGCATCTAATCGACCAAATTGTTGTCCTTTGTCAAAGGTTGAATCCACTGACGAAACTAGGAACCCATTTACTTCAAATGATGCATATACATGTACGTATAATTATGTAAAATTGGGCTTTTGTTAGAGAGCATCCCATAGGCTGAGAAGCTATCATAGGCGGTGTCAGACAGAGACCTGCGGCCTCGTGGAATTATTACATGTATATCACTCAGGGAAATTCTGACTTTACCGGCTCATATGTATTTCATTTTCGATATTCATTATTTGTAAACATATTAAATATAACAATTTCAATATTTGTATAGTATTTTAGTGTATATAACAAACTGATATTGTGGGGTTGCATATGAAGCTTAATAGCACTTAACGCTCTTGCAATCGATTAGTCCGTGAAGGAATGCTAATCTGCCTATGTTTTAAGAGATATGTTAAGGATGTGTTAACCCCCGGCCAGGACACATCACATTTTCAGAATACCATCAAACCGTTCCCCGGACCGTTCTCCAAACAATTCACCAGATTCAAGAGACTCTTCACCAGACCCTTCTTCACCAGACCCTGTGTCAAATACTGTATCACCATCAGACCATTTCCCGGTTCCTTCAGACATGACGTGAACACTAGATTGTTCAGTGTCGATCATCGGACGTTGAGCGTTCTTGCAAAGTGCAGGAGGTGTAAAGACTGACATGTTCTGAATGCCGGAGTGGAGGTCAAAGAACCTGGTACTGACCGACTGGATGGTTCTGTTTTGTTCGTCCTTCTTCATGAAGACTTCGGTCATAGGCCAGCAGCCAGGGTAAGTGTTTGTATTAATCCGACTTTCATCTGCATAACGTTAAAAAACGACGAAAGAGAAGAGAAAGGAGGAAGCGGAGTGAGACAATGATTTTGACATGAACGACGAGGAGGCGCGATTGCTGAGTGGTAAAGCAATGGTCTCATAACCGGGAGATCCCGGTTGCGCTCGTGCTGTTTGGTAAGGTTTTAATTCTCACCACCAAGTCCCTCGGAGAGGACTTAACGCTTTTGATATTCTGGTTGCTTACTTATAAGCGTACAAATGCCTTCTTAGCAGTCGGATAAACTAGTCATTAAACATATACCTCACAAATATCCTAAAGAAAATGTACCGGTACACTTACTTTGCTTTCCTGGGGTTCTATCGGACCACTCTTGGACCATGAAGCCGCTTCCTGGAGCACCTATCTCGTAGAAGTCCTCCAGAGTAGAGTTTGGTGGAATTGTGTAATTGCGCCATATGTTCCTAGCTGTTCCACAGTGCATGTGTTATAGTTGTGGTTGATGACGTACTGTATCTCTTCATCGTAAAGCATGATGTACTCGTAGGTCCTGATGATGTTACGAAAGAATAAAGGAAGATTGAAAGAAAACAAGAAAGATAGGAAGGAAGAGAGAGCGCAGTATAAATACTAAGAACTGTTTTCATTTTCAAGACTGAATCAGATATTCTGCACTCCTTTAATGGTACTATGTCCCATTTGCATGCCAAAACATGTTTAACAATTAAATTACACAGAAAGGAAAAACGTGACATATTCATTATCCCTGCAAAGTTCTACAGAGTTTGATGTTGGCTGCAAATGGGACATATAATATAATATAATATAATATAGTATAATATAACAAAAATAATATAATATTGGATTCTTATATATAGCGCACATATCCACTTTGCAAGGTGCTCAAAGCGCTCCAATATTACTCCGGCTCTGCTAGGCTACCGATTTCGGTGATCATAGCATTCAAGGAATTCCTTCCTACCAGTCCCCATTTACTTCACCTGGGTGGAGTGTGGCTCATGTATGTAGATCAATATCTTGGACATTAGTGCTGCGGTGGGATTCGAACCGCAGACCTTGTGAACGACAGTACGGCGACGTATCCACTCGCCCACGACACCTCTACATCGGGCCCTACATAATAGTACCTTTACGCTGGCATAGCTGAGCAATTAAACACTATTGACTGACTTGCAATTCAATACCCACCGATATAAAAATGTGCCCATCTCTTGCCTCATTGAAACGAAAAGATAAACGCCATCTAATGAAGGAATTTCTATCTTAATTGTGTTAAATTAGCCGGCTGTACACACTTGTTTATGGTTTACCCACTCTTTATTTTCTCTTTACTTTGTATAATAATCTGCGGCCAGTGGAGCCCGGCATTTGAAAGGCCAATGGCCTCTGCTGGCTCCTCCATATTCTTTGTATTGTTTATATATTTTCTTAAATGTACACATTATTATACCTTTATGCTAATATTTCTATCAAAGATTTTGTTAAAGGGCACATGACTCTGTCATTAGAAGGATGAGACGGAGTTGGTACCTCCGGTATCAGATTGTAATAGGGTAGACCTACATTCACACGTTGCTATAGAGGGACTCTTTTGGAAATTAGTCATAGTAAGGAGGGCTGACAACTTTTGCCCGAGTATTAATTTTCCAGTATCTAAATGTTGCGATAAAGCGAAGCGAGGGAGGCAATAACATCTTTCTTAATGTATTTGTCATCAAGGTAAATTCAAGTCAGACCGTATAGTGTGCGATGAGCTTAAGGTGATGGTTTCCCGAATACCGGAACTTTAAAATATACATTTAAATAACATGAATTGTGATATGAGGAATAATTATTTTATTCTTGAATAAAGATAATTCGTCCTTGTTTTCACGAAGTGACGGTAGTGAGGAAAATCGTAACGCAAAGTGGATGCATTTTTTTTTCACTACCGTCACTTCGTGAAAACAGCGACGAATTCATGCAATAAAGACATACCCGTTCCCTCTAACTCTAACTTGGGGGTACCGCAGGGCTCAGTAATGGGACCTTTGGAATTTGTTCTATATACTGGTCCTGTGAGTGACGTCATCACAGCCCACAAAGGTATAAGCCACATGTTATATGCTGATGATACCCAGTTGTACATCGTTATGCAACGCAACGACCTGGCTGATGGCATCTCGTCTTTGGAAGACTGCGTGACAGATGTGAAGTCTTGGGCTAGTAACAATAACATGATGCTCAATGCAAACAAGACTGAGCTCATCCACATTACATCACAATTTAGGAAACGGAACGAGTCGGTTAGCCTTCACATAGACGGAGCTGTTATTACTGCGACCAATTCTGCTAGAGATCTGGGTGTTATCGTTGATAACTCGTTAGACTTAAGAGAGCACATCCGAAAGGTGTGTCGGGCAGCTAGCTTCGGAGTTTATAGGATTGGGAAAATCCGGAAATACCTTGATCGCAGCTCTACTGAACGACTAGTTAATGCATTGGTAACGTCCCATTTAGACTACTGTAATTCATTATTAATCAACTTACCTGCTTCTCATCTGGCCCCACTCCAGCACATCCAGAACACCGCTGCACGTCTAATCACCCGCACCAGAAAGCACGATCACATCACTCCAGTCATCCGCACCCTACATTGGCTCTTAATTCCCCAACGTATCCAATTCAAGATTCTTCTCCTCACGTTCCACATCATCCATCAACACGCACCATCATACCTGATTGAACTGATCTCACCCAAACAGACTACCGGCATGAACCTTAGATCATCATCCAGACCCCAGCTCGCACTCGGTCCTCGCACCCACAACCGCTATGGTGACAGGGCCTTCTCAGTCTGTGCCCCCACTCTTTGGAACATTCTCCCCGCCCATATCCAGGACTCACCCACCATTGACATTTTCAAAAAGAATCTAAAAACTCATCTATTCCAAAAGCAACCCAAATAACTCTATAATGTCTTTTCAAATTATTACTATTACTGATATAATGTGATAATTTCCAAGGAATTTACATGTTTTGTTAATTTCTTTAGTAATGTTAGTAATGTTTGATCTTCTTGGTAATTTGAGTAATGTCAATTTGTTAAGTTATGATAGAAATATTTGATTTTCTTGTTAATATAAGTAATGATAATTAGTTAAGTTATGTAGGTAATATTTTGTTTTCTTGGTAATTGAGTAATGTTAATTCCATTAGTAATATCGATTTTGTTTGAAGTAATTTTGATTTGTGTACATGTACAGCGCTTTGAAACTTTTGTCACAAGCGCTATATAAATTTGTCATATTATTATTATTATTATTATTCCTGGGAGTTGTTTAACAATCCTTTTTCTTCGATGAGTCCCATCGACGGTCATGTTGAAGCGGCTGTTGACGCGCATGATGTGATCCCACTCGCTGGCTCTGCCCTCCCATTGCTCCGCCGTTTGGCACGGGGTGGCGCCCACGGCTGAAGGGGATGGTTGTCCTGTTACGGGTCTGGGTTGAGTGTTGAGTGTAGGAGCTGGCATAGATGATGATGGCACGTAATCGAAATCATTAATTCTGTTTATAGCCTGATCCATCTTTCCACCAGCATAATAGATGGATTTCTTAGGATCGATTGGTTTGGGATATATGAAGGAATTTATATCATTTCGTCCAAGTTCCTTGTTGATGCCATACTGAAGGTATTTCTTTAGTAGAGACTTGCTTGCTGCCTTTTTACTACTACCTTGGCCGATCTGCCCCAGTGCAACGGCCGTAAAGGCCAAAAGCAAGACCACGAGCTCTTTGGAGAGTGGCATGATTGTAGACTCGACCTTCCTCGATGGCAGGTGATTTAGAAATGAGAATAGAGGGAGCGAATTAGTCTCTATTTAAAGCAAATGTATTGATAAGAAACTCATTGTGATCCCCAAACTTTCTATAAATAAGTTAAAAGCGCTGACCAGCTTCCTTATCAAAGTTTTTCAATGCTTTTTCGATATCTGTAGAACGTTTAACCTTCCTTTGACCTCTAGAAAGTTCTCCTTCAGAGTTAAAAGTAGGCTATGGAAAAAGCACTACGTAAGAATGTCATAAGGAGATGAACACATGAACTTGGCCGTTTATTCCATCCATAACCAACACCACCACCACAATGACCCCACCACGACAACCACCACCAACACCACCACCACCCAACTACCACCACCTCTACCACAACTACCACCATTTCTACGACGTGGTACTGTGGGCAGGGGCGGCGATCCCAGTAACACCTCTCCCAGGATATTTTCAGGGGATCAACCCCCCCCCCATCCTGCCCGAAATTATGATAAAAGTACAAGCTATGAACTGAATACGAGATAGGTGGGGAGGGGGGGGGGGGACGTATACGGTTTTTTTTTTTTTTTTTTTTTTACAACGTTTCAAAATATATCGAATAAAGTTATGAAGTTTCAAATGCGTTTCAAATGCAAACATATGCAATGTAATAAGGGTTTTGCTAGCATGTGTGAGTTCTTAATTTCAATACTGCCGAGGAAAATTCTTCTCATTCGGATGGGTTATACCCTAAGAAGACACGCCCCTGCTTTGCCGCAACAAATCTCAGTACATATCAAACCCCCTCCCCCGGTAACCACAAGAATAATAAATAGGCCTGGTTTATCTGCTGAATTTATTCTCGAAACGCAACGGTACATTCGTGGTTCACTGGTTTTTTGCTTGCTGATGTATCGATTATTTTCTGCCGCAGCTGAACGCGAAGTCATCGCATTTCAAGTTCAAATGTATTTTAAATTTATTGCAATGCCCGTAGCAGTCCACTATGTCGACGTGCAAATCTAAAAGTCTGAGACGTCATTCCTTTTTTATTCGTACAACTATAATGCCTCAGTCTCACCTTTGCGTATTTGCCTTGCGTATTGCTGTGTATTTATGGCAATTCGTTTTAACATTTATTCCTATTTCTTGATATCAAGAATTAGGAATAAATGTTAAAACGGCTTGCTATAAATACGCAGCGATACGCAAGCCGAATACGTATAGGTGTGACTGAGGCATAATGGTTGACTTCAGATTTCATGAACCTTGTAAGGTTCTTTCTGTTGAAGTTGTTTCTGGATTTGTAATCCTAGTTTGTGTCCGAATAATTTCAGCTTTGATGCCCAAAAGGTTACATTGAGCATTTTGCATAATTGGCATAAAAATCCAAATGGCCACATGTATCCAGGCACATTAAACATAAACTTCAGCACAATGTGCACACTGCACCTTTTGTGCCTCTTATCGTGTGCATCATGGGTGTCGATCCCGGGGGGGGGGGGGGGATGGGGGGGATATATCCCCCCCCCCCCAATATTTCAGGTGGGGGGATGGCCTGTACAATCATTCCCCCCCCCCCCAATAATTCACCATAAAAAAAAAAAAAAAATGAAGAGAAAAATTAATGATGAGAGTCCGATGAGAGTAGTTAATGGTTATTACTCGCAAGATGACCATCAATATACACATTTTGCTATCTCATTTTCATAATACATATACATGTATATATATATACGAAGTAAATAAGATAACCGTATATGAGACAACAATAAATTGAATTCTCGCCGCCATACGGCTTCATCAGGAATTGATGAATTTATTCAATTTGTTCAATCAACAGCATC